GAGGGCCGCGGGCTGTGCAGGGCTGAGGGTGGAGGAGGGCCGCGGGCTGTGCAGAGCTGAGGGTGGAGGAGGGCCGCGGGCTGTGCAGGGCTGAGCGTGGAGGAGGGCTGTGGGCTGTGCAGCCTGATATGTGGCATCATGACACCAGGGTTTCCTCCCAAGGGAGGGGAACCTCAAACTCATGAGAAGAGATGGTGATTTAGAGGTGAGGTGGTGATGTCCTGTCCTCTTAACTGTGTGAGGGGCTTCACTGTGCCCATTTCACACCCAGTAAGACTGAGGCTCAGAGACAGCCTTAGAGGAGAAAGTGTAGCTAGCTTTGAATTCGTATATGCTGCCTTTGGGTATAGGCAGATGATAGTTTTCTCCTTTGTCATTTAAGCACTGGAGTCCTCAGGTGGCATAAAGGGTGACACTTGGGCTACTAATTAGAAAGCTGGCAGTTCAAACTCTCCCTGTTGCAGCTTGGAAGCAAAGACTGGCAATCTGATCCTGCAAAGTCACAGTTTAAAAAGCCCTGCGCACAAGGGTTGCTGTAGGTCAGAAGGGATGTGACAGGAACTAAGAATGTGACCCACAAGCGAGCCATCAGGTGCGTGGTGTGCAGCAGTGAGGATGGGTACTGAATCGGCAGGAAATGGGCCCTGAACGCAGTACCAGGTATTGGGGTGGGGACCCGAAAATGCAGGCCCCACCTGCAGGCAAGATGGAGTGTTCTGATTCCATGGCCTGGGCCGCCCAGCGGAGCCACAGCTGCCGGGCCCCTAGCCAGCGTGGAGTTCTGCAGGGCTTGGAGCTGGGACGCGGGGCCGGGGGTGGCACGGGGAGAACCCCTGGGGCTTCCTTTGTGGTGAGCATCCCGTGGGTGGCACCTGGCACAGCCAGGAGGGTGGCACCGCCCCCTCCCTGGGGCCTGCCACCCAAGAGCAGGGCTTCTGCTGAGCCAGCCGGGACGGGGTGGGGGGGCTGCCCACCTTCTCCTTGGTGGGGAAGGTGTCATCTCAGGGCACCCTTTTGCCAGGTGCCTCACCTACCTGGTCCCCGTGGCAAAGCTGGGAAAACTGAGGCTGTGTGGTTGAGCTGGATTTGGGCATCTTAGAAAGGGGCCGGGCAGAGGGTGACTCGTCAAGGGAGCAGAGCTGGGACTTTCCTGAGACCAGGAGGCCCCGCTGTTGGGGGAAGGGGACAGTGGCTGTTCTGACCGCTCTGCTGAGCAGACCCCCAAGGGCCACAGCTGCACCATGTGCAGGGTATCCACTTCATCCTCATCACAGCCACTCCTCTGTCCCCGTGGCCACGGCAGCGCTTGACTCTGGTCCTCACCTTACAGGTGTCCTGAGGGGCCTCTAGCCCTCTCCCCAGCCTCATTTATCATGCGTGTCACTCCCTCACTCTAAAACCTGCAATAGCTCCCCATTGCCGCAAGGTCAACCCAGGCCCTCACCTTACCTTCCAAGGCCCCTCCCAGGCCTGCACTTCAGTGTCCTTGGGAGATTTGACCGCTGACACCTCTACCCCCTTCTCACCCTGGGCCCCTGCTGTCACCTCTGCCTGGAGAGCCTTCCCCTCTGCCATACACATGGTTCTTCTTGGGAGGTGACTTCACACTCTTCAGCTGTTCACTGACACAGCCAGGGCATAGCCACCTGGGGACCCACCCTCTTTGTCTCCCAGCCCACTTGGCCTGGGACGGCTCAATGCTGATCTAGAGGCCCTCTTGTGCATTTTGAAAGCCCAACTTGAGGTTTCCAAACCCTGCTGAACCCCCTCTGTCACTGCTACAGCATAAAGGACCCCTCATGGCTGGGTGGTGGCAGACTGAGTTCTTCCATGGTGACCAGATAGCATGCACCAGGCTTGGGGCTGAGCAGAGAGGCCACAGCAGAGCATGCTGGGCACCCCGAGCCCAGGATGGGAGCCAGGCCATGAGTTGGCAGGAGGCCGACGGCTCGTGGAAGCAGCCACAGTGATTGGTCCCGAGACAGGGCCTGGCCTGGGTGGGTGGGACTGGCCCCTGTAGACCTTGCCTGCGACCTTGGCCCGTGTCTAGCTTTGAGAGCTAAGAGAGAAATTTAAAGGGGCAAATCTGTGCCGTTCCAGTCCTTTTCCAGACTAGTGCCACCACTTGTATGCTGCTAGTGATGGGGAGCTCACTATTTAACAGTAGGCAGATGTTTTGTGATAGCCTTGTGCTGGCTTCACCCTGACACCCTGAGGCTCCCCACAGTGGGATCCCGCTCTACAGAAGTCCATCAGAAATATGAATGTCCTCAGGTGGCAAGAGTCTAACAGGACCCCAGCCAAGTCAAGACTGTGGGCGAGAACTTCCCTGAGGAGGTGGCGTGAATGCTGAGACTAAGGGGGCATCAGACCCTGAGCAGTTGATGTGGATGCTGGGACAGAGGGGCACCAGAAACCCAGGGCAGGTGAGAGCAGGAAAGGGGCTCCAGGTGGGTGGAACAGCATGTGCCAGGCCCAAAGGCCCAGAAGCATAGTTTCCAGAACATAGGGAGTTCAGTCCCAAGAGAGCACCATGGGGAGAGGAGGGGAGATGAGAGCCCTGGACACAGGTTGGAACCCTGGACATGAGGCCAAATGTGCCAAGCACACACGGGACTTCTCTTTGTATTTGGTCCCTCCAGCCCCGTGGGTTGGGGGTTGAGGCTGTATGTGTGCACAACCCCCACCCAACCTGTCCGATGGACCACTGCCTCCTGCCCCATGTGCTGCCCTCGGACATGACTGAGCACAGGGCCCCGGCCCCAGACCACTGAATGCCTTGTGGCCCATGGCTGTCCAGCTTCTATTGCAAAGAGATCTGAGCCTGGCTTACTCACCACTCCGCTCCCAGCAAAGAGGAAACAGGACCCGGGAGGTTGCTGATAAGCAGAGAGGTCAGAGGTCATCATGACTATCCAAGGGTGAGGACCCGAGGCCTTCTGCCCCCCCACTTGTGACTTTTGTGCCAGAACCTGGTCCCAGGAGCCAGCGCAGGCCAGGCCAGGGAGCAGCATGCCTGAAGCGTAAGGGAGATTGAGGGCTGTCCTGTCCACTGTGATGGCCAGGGGCCACCAGGAACCCACAGAGCCATGCTAGTGAGAGCCGGTGGCCACTTGGTGCCCACAGAGATATACTGATGAGACCCAGTGGGCACTGGTATCCATGGAACCAGGCTAGTGTCATGCTGGTGAGACGCAGTGAGCACCCACAGAGCCAGGCTAGTGAGACCCGGTGGGCTTGGTGGGTGAAAATGCAGGTCCAACTTCTCATCCACCCCTCAGTACTGATGGCGTGTTGGAATATATTGATTATACAAGCTAAAAGCAATAGGTAATTAACGTGGGCATCCACGTTGATCTTCACTCGCTGAGGCTACCAGAAAAATCAGGATTACAGGAATGACTCCATGGCCCTGGGTATGTGGCTGAGACAGAGCTGTGACCCTTCTGCTCCTCCCCGGACCCTGACCCTGTCCTCGTGGGGGCAGTCCCAAGAGCTAAGAGGCCAGCACAAGGCAAAGGCAGTGTGGTGTTAAGGTGTTCTCTGTCAGTCCCGTCGTCCATCTAAGTGTCGCACACTCCCTGAATACCAGGGTACTGGGGCACCAGGAAGACCACCCAGCCTACCTTTCTAGTCTGGCCAGCTCAGGGTCACTGCAGGTCCAGCCGGAGGCTGGCCGGGACATGGGGATTTGCATCATTCTTCTATCTACCTCAGGGAGCCGCTGAGGACCGCACTTGACCCCCACCTTATCCCAGGGCCCCCTTAGCGGCAGCCCTATTCCAGGACCCTGCTCAGCCTCCTGTCCTGTGCCG